CACCTATGACAAGTTAATAGAGTGCAAAGCATCTTTAGATTGAAGTAATTCACACATTGAGGAGTGTCATCTTGCAACACAACCTGTACAGTCTTCCTTTAAAGGAACACTACAGTATATTTTTTAGTATCTACTTGCTAATTGACTCAGTACAGACCTAAACACAGCAGTGGTCATGGTACAGTATTTAAGTGTCAGCATACACAGGCATAATCCCTGTATAGAGTAGTGCCAAATTGATTATTTCGATTGTGTAACTAGTTTAAAATCTAATAAATGGATTGTTTTTAACATCTGCCTTTTGTCTTCATTAAAGGGGGAAGACAGTTGTGTAGGCAACGATTCTTGTGGATTTCTTTTTTTTTTTTTTTTTTAAGATTTATTTATTTATTTATTGCATGGCAGTTATATTTCATTTGCTGGTTCACTCCCCAAATGACTGGTGCTAGGCCAGGCTGAAGCCAGGAGACAGGGTCTCCTCTGATCCCTTTCCAGGCACATCAGCAGGCGGTTAGATTGGAGATAGAGCAGCCAGGACTCAGCCAGTGCTCCAGCATGGGATGTGGTGTCACAGGCAGTGACTTGCTGTGCTGCCACGTCAGCTCCTGTGCACTTCCCTTCCTTTGCAGCCTTCCCAGTCGTGCCACCAGGAAGCTGCATGCGAAATGGGGCATTTAGGACTCGAACCCGAGCGCATTGGGTGCTGGCTTCACAGATTGCAGTTTCACCTATGCCGTTAACACCAGCTCCAACTATTAGATTATTTCCTCAGTCTGAATAAACACATTTCAAGAGATTATTTTAGCATGTGGCTAGTGATTGCCATATTGAATAACACCCATGAACTTCGCATCAGAAAGTTCTGTTGCACAGCGCTGGCCTACATGATTCTCATTGATGTGCACAGGATTATGTGGGCATGTGGGAAATTTACTTACCTTGATAAATCTTCCAAACCCTATGCCATGAATTAAATTTTCTACCAATGACCTCAGGGAAAAAAAAAGAGTTGGGTGATGGCTACTATCTCAAATGGTTCTTAAAATGTACAGTACATTGGAAAGGTAGGGGATTGATGGAGCAGGAACCCTGAGGAGGCAGTAAATTTACTAGGAATGAGAATGCAGACCCATATCTGAAACTCAGTGTTAATTAGGCAGAAGAGAGAGCAATGAGGGTACTAGAAAATATGTGTATTTTAACGTTGTAAGGGCTAATCTTTAGATTCTAAATAGATCCTTAAAAGAATTTGCAGTTTGGGCCCGGCGCGATGGCGCAAGTGGTTAAAGCTCCTCGCCTTGCACGCCCGGGATCCCATATGGGCGCCGGTTCTAATCCCGGCAGCCCTGCTTCCCTTCCAGCTCTCTGCCTGTGGCCTGGGAAAGCAGGACGGCCCAAAGCTTTGGGAACCTGCACCCGCGTGGGAGACCCGGAAGAGAGGCTCCTGGCTTCGGATTGGCATAGTAGTATCGGCCCGTTGCGTTCACTTGGGGAGTGAATCATCGGACGGAAGATCTTCCTCTCTGTCTCTCTTCTCTGTATATCCGCCTTTCCAATGAAAAAATAATAAAAATAAATCTTTAAAAAAAAAGAATTTGCAGTTTTCCAGTTATTTTTAAGATTCGTTTTTATTTATTGGAAAGTCAGACATACAGAGAGAGGAGAGAAAGATCTATATGTTGATTCACTCCCCAAGCAGCTGCAACGGCCAGAGCTGCACTGATCCAAAGCCCAGAGCCTCTTCTGGGTCTCGCATGCGGGTGCAGGGTCCCAAGGCTTTGGGCCATCCTCGACTTCTTTCCCAGACCACAAGCAGGGAGCTGGATGGGAAGCAGAGCTGCCAGGATTAGAGCCAGTGCATGCAAGGCAAGGACTTTATCCGCTAGGCTACTGCATTGGGCCATCTTCCAAATGTTCAAATTTACTTACCTAATTAATATGAATGGTTGAAAGTTTAGGTGTAAGTATGTTAGTGCAAAACATGTATTATTTTGAAAAGCTTATAATACTGAGTATGGATTTCAACTTTTTTTTGCACGAAATTTTAAGTTCTGTTTTCTACAAACTTGAAGTACCATAATGCATGAATATAGTAACAAGAAAGTTGTTTCCAACTTTGATTTAAAATACTTGGCATTGCCAAGTTCTTTTCTAATTTGCTAACTGATATAGTGGGGATAAAAGGGACTGATGAGGACCTGGCACGATAATCCAAAGGCTAAATTCTCGTAAGTGCCAGGATCCCATCTGCATGCCAGTTCGTGTCCTGGTTACTCCATTTCCCATCCAAAAACCTGCTTGTGGCCTGTGAAGGCAATAGAGGATGGGCCAGAGCCCTGAGACCCTGCTGTTGCATGGGAGACCTCAATGAGGCACCTGGCTTCAGATTGGCTCAGCTCTGTGCATTGGTGGCCTATGTATCTACCTTTCCAATAAAAATAAATCTTAAAAAAAAAAAAAGATTGATGATGTAATTTTATTTTGGTTAATGAAGAAAGTTTCTCCTGGTGGCTGGTGCTGTGGCTCAGTAGACTAATCTATTTGCAGTGCTGGCATATTTATACCATATGAGCACCAGTTTTAGTCCCAGCTGCTCCACTTTCAAGTACGCTCTCTGCTTATGGACTGGGAAAGCTGCAAAGGATGACCCAAATCCTTGGGCCCCTCCAGCCACTTAGGAGACCCAGGAGAGGCTCCTCATGCTTGGCTTCAGATCATCTTGGATCCGGCTATTTGGAGAATGAATCAGCAAATGGGAGATCTCTGTATCTGTGTCTGTCTATCTGTAAGTAAAATCAAATCTTCCTAAAAATATTTTTAGAAATTTTTTCCAACTTTTAATTTTTATGGACTTTTGTCAAGATTGATTTATTTAGTATTCCCTCATGAAATGTCAGGGTTTTCAGTTTACCACAAGTTATAGGACAATGCACATTTTAAGAACTTCATGCTTTAAAACTTTTTAAAGATTTCTATTTGAAGGGCACATTTACAGAAGAGAAAGATTTTGCACCTGCTGAACCCATGTTGGAGACCCAAAGAAGCTCCTGGCCCAAGGATTTTAGCCATCCTCTACTGATTTCCCAGGCCACAAGCAGGGAGCTGGATAGGAAGTGGAGCAGCTGGGACACCAATCTGTGCCTGTTAGAGTCCAGGCTAAAGGAACGTCAGGGCACAAACTAGTCAACCCCCAGAGAATGACAAAGTCTCACTGGTAATGCAAACAGAGTTTATTGTGCCAGCAGGCTGGGGTCAGACCGTACTTGGGGCACACAGGCTAGCCAAGCGGTGCGGTCTGCACAAGACAGAAGATTATATAGGTCCTTTTGGGCTGGGAAAGTATAAAAAATAGCAACCTTAGACATGTTAATTTTTTATGGCCTTCAGACACAAGCAGCCTGTTCCGTTTCCATATCCATTATCTTTATGGCTCATCCCATTCTCACACACTTATCTTCCTCCTGCTCCTGGGACCCCTGCACCTGGGTTCACAAAGTTGCATGGCGGCAAAGAACAGATTTATCACTAAAGAAGAATCCTCCCAAAGTCCAGGCACCTCCTGGCCTAGCAAAGTAGTAGTAATTTCAGCACAAAGGAATCTCACACTGCCCAACAAAAACATTCCGTGCTAGCATTCTAATATACTATCATTCTAACAGCATTTTATTATTCTAACATTTAGCTATAACATGCCCATATGGGATGCTAGATTGCAGGTTAATGATTAGCATTCTGTGCCATTGCACCAGCCTCATGCTTTGAATATTTGATGGGGGGTGGGGGCGGGGGAGCCAGCAGCGTGGCCTAGCAGCTGAAGTCCTTGCCTTGAACGTTGCCCGGGATCCCGTATGGGCGCCGGTTCTAGTCCTGGCAGCTCCATTTCCCATCCAGCTCCCTGCTTGTGGCCTGGGAAAGCAGTCAAGGACGGCCCAAAGCTTTGGGAACCTGCACCTGTGTGGGAGACCCGGAAGAGGTTCCTGGTTCCTGGCTTCGGATCGGCATAGCTCTGGCTGTTGCAGTCACTTGGGGAGTGAATCATCGGATGGGAGTTCTTCCTCTGTCCTCCTCTGTATACCTGACTTTGCAATAAAAATAAATTAAAAAAAAAAAAAAACTTTTGATGGAGCCATTCTAGGAGAGAAATGTTTAGGTCCAGGATCTAAATTTCTTATTTACTTGAGGGACAGAGACAAAACGACGTTTCATATGCTGGCATACTCTCCAAATATCCACAAAGGCTGGGCTGAAGCCAGTGTCCAATAACCGGAATCCTACCAATTGCACCATCACCTGGTGGCTTGCTGGATTTGCGTGAGTAGGAGCTAAGCCAAAGCCAGGCACTCTGACATAGGACATTGACATCACAACCAGGTACCCACTCCAAAATGAAGAGGCTCCAACACTTGTTTTGTTCAAAATGTATCGATCTGCATTGTAGTGTGTGTGTGTGTTATTGTCAAAAGCACCTGAGAGAAATTGGATGAATAAAATTATCCGTACTTTCTGGTAATTCCGTTTGCAAATTTAGAGATTGCAGTTAACAACACTTGCTTTTGCCTTATCAACTTTATTTTTTCCTAGCAGGGTTGTGTTCCCTCAGTGAAGTTCACTAGTACTTCAAGCTGGTTTGATTTACATTGCTAGAATGACAAAACTCTGAACTGGACGACTCCTACATTTCCAAAGTCTCCTGAGGCGCTGCGCTGAGCAGGCCGGCCTGACAGCCTTTCCTGAGGGAGCTGGGCGGCGGGCGGGGAGGCCCGGGCCGACCCCCGTGCAAGCCCCGGACGCCGGCAGCCCGCCTCACGGCGCCCTCCTCTGCGGCAAAGGCCTCCCTGGGGGGGGCGCTGTGCCACCCGCGGCCCTGCCGTGTGCCCCCTCTGTTCCTGCGCTGGCCTTTCTTTGCAACTCAAGGGCCCCACGCGCGCGCGGCGGGAGCGTCCGGGCCCCGGGCACGAGGTGGAACACGAGGGGGCGCCGGCCGAAGGGGGGCGGCTCCTTGACGGCGCCTCCGCGCCCCCGGCTCACCGCGGCTCCCGGGATGCGCGGAGGCGGCGGCGGCGATGGCGGCGATGGCGACGGTGCCTCGGGCCCCGCATCCTACGGGGCGGCGGGCCGAGCTGAGGTGTCGGCTGCGAGATGGAGGAGGAGGGTCGGCGCTGCGCCCACCCGGCAGGTGAGAGGCCGCGGACTCCTTGAGGGGGAACGACCCCACGGTTGCGAGAGGACCGGGTCGGGAGGCCGCGAGTTGACGAGGAGCGCGGCAGAGCTGCGCCCGGCCGCCGCGCACCTGTCCCCACGGCGCGGCCTGCGGAGAGGCCATCTCGCCGGTCCTCGCCCGCGCCCAGCAGCCCCCCGCCCTGCCTGAGCCCTCTCCACCCTACAGTCAACCAATTTCCTCACAAGATTCTGGGCCCTGGATTAGGCCCTTCTCAACATCACCTCTCCCCGCCCCGGGGAGCCCCCACCCGTCGGCCGCCCCCGCCTGGAGCGACCTCCCTTCCCGCTAGTCTCTCTGCGCTGGAGAACCGAGCCCACCATCTGTGTCATCGGGCTGGGAGGGGGCGGGAGGGGGTAGCTTCCCATCCCTCCCAGCAGATGATCCGCCCCCGTCAGCTGTTTCAGGCTGCAAGTGATAGTTGAAGAGGTAGAAAGAGGGCTTTCAGCTACATCTGGCTTGAATCTTACTGACCTTGGGTGAGTTATCCAACCTCCCTTAGGTTTTCCGAATCAATACAAATGCCATGGGAATAGTTACAATTGAGAACCTTGCTGTCTGGGGAGGCTTATTAGGCTTTGGAAGTGCCTCCCCTAGGGGGATTTAGGCCTTGAGAAAGAAGAATGGGGGAGAAGAATCTAGATCATGAATTTAGTCATAAAAGCTCATAAAAATGTTATTGTGGTTAGTAAAGATCAGAGCAAAACAGCAGCCCTTACATGAGAAATCATTGCCATTGGACAATGCATTTTCTTGTACTTCTTTACTAGTTACTTTATGATCCCTCAGTTGCAGTCAGCTGCCTGTGAATTCATTGTCTCTTGATAATGCTAAGCAAGCATGCTTAAGGCATGTTTCAGCTTAAAAGCTCATTGAGTTAATGGTGTTAACCAGCTCTTCCAGGGCCTGTCTCATCCACGGCCTGTTTGTGGTCCCAGCGTAGTAAAGTGTAGCTTGTATGCTTGCACCAAAGATGGCTTTGGTAGTGTATCATTGAGGAGTAGCAAATGGGTATTAATTTGCTCCCCTGCATTGTCAGGTTGTTCTAATTTGTGACCCCAGCCCCGTCTTTCTACAAGTCCCAGGAGTTGGTACCAAGACCTCCCCTTGCTTCTCCGACTCTGCCTAATTCTACTCCTCTGATCCATCTTTTGCTTTTCCTCTCTTTTCCTTTCTAGTCTCTGATATCTTTTTTCCTGATTGCCCCAGAAGAAGTAATGTGTAATTACCTTATATAGAACCTTTCATGACCAAGCTTTCCATAAAGATACCTAAGAGGATTTTGTGTCTGTAGATAGACCTAGATATTTAGAATTTGGGGTTCCAAGAACTCCCTTTTGTCAGAAGGGGTTGCAATCAGTGGCTGCTTCATCGAATTACTGTGGGAATGAATTGAGGTTCGACAGCTTGGGTCAAGCCTCTAGTGTAAGTCCCTGGCATGCAATAAGCTGCCATTGCATTGGAGCTTGGTGACTGTCTGCTGTCCAGGGACCCCTGACTGCACTGCCTGCTCTGCTGTTGGTTTCAAGGTGGCAGAGCAAGGGCTTTGAAGAGCAGCTGAGGAGACTCAAATCAGTGATCAGCCACTTTGCCCCATGCTGGCTTTCTGACTCAGTTTCCTATCTTCAAAATGGAAATGTTACACTAATCCTTTCAGGGTTGTTGTGAGGATTCCGTAGTGAAAGCATGGAGCACTAAGAACCCTGCCGGGCACCTGATGAGCACTTGATAAAACGAATATAATAATGACGATGCTGGTAACCATGTTGTCATTCTTTCATAACCTGACTTTGCCTTTATTTTTCAAATTTACTGAAAATGCCCAAAAATGATTGAAAACGTGCAACTGCCCCAAAAGTAAAAGCTTTTCCTTCACTCCTCCAAATCAACTTTTTTTCCTTGGACCATGGATCTTGCATTTTTTCCTCAAATGATGTTGGGTTTCATCTCTCACTTGTTCTTTGAGAAGCAGCTCCCCTGCCTTTTGTCCTCTAGCCTCGGTTCTTCATAACTGCCATCATTTTGTCTCTTCATTACTATCTACTTACCCTTTGTTTCTCTGATCATCATGGTTCTAGGCTGACAGCTTTCCAACTTCCCCTCAGAACCAAACTCCTGTGTTGCTCTTCAACCCTATTCATTGCTCTCCTTCTCAAGAGGCAACCCTTGGCTGGGGGCAATGGGCTTGCTGTTCAAATTGTTTTCACCTCTGTACTTCTTGCCTTTGTAAAAAAAAAGATTTATTTATTTTTATTGGAAAGGCAGATATACAGAGAGGAGGAGAGACAGAGAGGAAGATCCTCCATCTGATGGTTCATTCTCCAAGTGACCACAACAGTGGGAGCTGTGCCAATCTGAAGCCAGGAGCCAGGAGCACTTCCTGGTCTCCCACATGGGTGCAGGGTCCCTTGGGTCGTCCTCGACTACTTTCCCAGGTCATAAGCAGGGAGCTGAATGGGAAGCAGGCCCACCAGGATTAGAACTGGCAACCATATGGGATCCTGGCGTGTGCAAGGCAAGGACTTTAACCACTATGCTATCGCTCCAGGCCCACTTCTTGCCTTCTTATTTTGGTTGTTCTCTTCTGCTTCCCCTTGCATAAAGCTAGCCCCAGTCCTTTAGTTAACAAATTTTTTAAAACCATGAAAAATTGTCTTTCTCACTACATAGGTAGCATAGTATTTAGAAGCAGGTTTATAGTCTTTAAGTATAAATTATAAAAATTATGAATATTTCTTTTAATGCTATTCATCATGAAACAAAAGTTCAGAATTTATACTTTTCTCTCTCATGGATTTTTCTAAAGGAAAGTGCAGAGACGCTGGTCTCACTTTCTGGTGGAGAAGCTCACTATCTGGTTGTGGCCTGCTCTGTATATCTGTTAACAATGCATTAATGAAAGACTCCAGCTAGGTACGTGGGTCTCTCAGGACTGATGTGTGTGTGATACTCTCTGGTGTGGTCTCACCTGTGTGTTCATTGCTGAGACTTCTGTCCTGAGTAAGACCATAGCTGGAGTCCTCCTTTCTCACCTGGCCTTTTGCTCTATGATTCAGTGATCCAACAACTAAAGGGGTTAACATCAGATGCCTCTGGGATCTGCCTTGAGCTGGTGGCTAAATATTCCAAAACATCTTCAGTCCTGGACCTCCCAAAACCTTGGTTATTCCTCAGTGTTGAATGAGAACAAATGCTGTTCAGTTCTCAGGAGCAAAGTGCCAACAGCGTGATCAGTCCCGCTCAGTGCAGCCTGGGGAGGAAGCTGAGCACCGGGGGGATTGGGGCTTTGGGACTTCATAGAAGATTTGTGTAAATGTACAGTAAATCTTATTTCAGAATGGGGGAGAAAGGTTAAAGCAGAAAGAGGGAGCAGGAAGGTCTTTCTCATCTCAGTGCCCTCAGGACGAACATACGGTGTATATGTTGTCGCTGTCACCTGAGGGAAGGAACGTGGGGGTGGCCACCTGCCTCTCTCTGGTGTCATCAGGAAGGCACTGTTGTTGGAGAAATGGTAGCACATTCTCCTGGCAACTCAGAGTTTACAAAACACAGCTTTGCCCTTTGTTAATTTGGAATGTAATTCCCAAGATTCCTTTGTTGTTTTCTACGCTTTCCCCCCACACACACACACAAATGCTGTCCAGACAGTAGCTTTTGTTTTGTTTCTAACCCCAAAGAAAGATAAGAGGTTGGCCAAGAAATCCCAAGCTGGGAGCATAAATTATAAATACTGTGAAAAATAAGGGATTTTCTCTAGGGGAGATTGGGCTGAATGTTTTTAGTAATTTATAGGAACTGTCTGAAGGATGTCATCATACAGCTACAATATGCATATTGGACACACATGGTTTTGCCTCAGTCTCTGTTGGAAAGACCATTCTTTTCTAAGACCGTCGCGGCTCCCTGTCCCTTGCCCTTCACGCAGCATGCTGCTACTTAGCTGCAGCACCCCCTTCATTATTTTGCAGCTCTGTCCATAGACTGAATTAGCTTCTCCTCTGCCGTAGTTCCCCAGCACCCTGAAGCCACGTTAGGCTGTAATAACTTCTGTGGGTGGGTCTCCTTCCCACACTGTGATCTCTGGAGGAGAGGTTATAGCTCTGTATAACTCAAGTATCTGACATGGAAACAGTGCTCAAAGTGACACCTGCACATCCCTCCGTCAGAATCTCAAGGGTAAGATCCAGGAATCTACTCTCCATGTGATGCTGAAACATTTTAACCTGTTCTCCAGGTGAGACTTAAAACCCACTTGAGATCTACCGTGTCATAATAAGTGAACATTAGTTGGATGGAGTTATTTTGAGGTGTTTTTGTCTTTTCACAGTTGGACTTTGTGAGGAGAAACGCTTTCAGTATCCCAGATCAGAGCTGAAAGAGTCTAGCACTTTGGGGGAAAACAAAAATAAAGACCCTAGTATTAACTGCTTTTTGTTTCTGGGTGTGCATTTCCATGTGCAGGCTCATCTGCCTTGGGCCTCTTTTGTCACGTATCACTCATCTGTGAGTTGAAGCCCTGACTCTTCCCACTGAACATTTCTGGAGAACAGCAGGAAGGGGCATTTCTCTCTGAGGATGAACTCGACAGACCCCCTTGAGGATACCTCCAATGCCACCGCGCTCCCCATGCCTACCTGGCGGGGAGCAAACAGCTCCTCTCTGCAGGAGGATCTTCAGGATCTCATCCACACAGCCACCTTGGTGACCTGCACTTTCCTACTCACCGTCATCTTCTGCCTGGGCTCATATGGCAACTTCATTGTCTTCTTGTCCTTCTTTGATCCGGCCTTCAGGAAATTCAGAACCAACTTTGATTTCATGATCTTGAACCTGTCCTTCTGTGACCTCTTCATCTGCGGAGTGACTGCCCCCATGTTCACCTTTGTGTTGTTCTTCAGCTCAGCCAGGAACATCCCAGATGCTTTCTGCTTCACCTTCCATCTCACCAGTTCAGGCTTCATCATCATGTCCCTCAAGACAGTGGCAGTGATTGCCCTGCACCGGCTCCGCATGGTGCTGGGGAAGCAGCCAAATCGGTCCTCCTCTTTCCCCTGCACCTTGCTCCTCACTCTGCTACTCTGGGCCACCAGCTTCACCCTGGCTACTTTGGCTACCCTGAAAACCAACAAGTCTCATCTTTGTCTCCCCATGTCCAGTCTAATGCCTGGAGAAGGGAAAGCCATTCTATCTCTCTACGTGATCGACTTCACCTTCTGTGTAGCTGTGGTTTCTGTCTCTTACATCATGATTGCTCAGACCCTGAGGAGGAATGCTCAAGTAAGAAAGTGTCCCCCTGTCATCACAGTTGATGCTTCCAGACCACACCCTTTTATGGGGACCCACGTGAAAGGGGGTGGAGAGCCCATCCAGTGTACCATGCCGGCCCTGTATAGGAACCAGCATTACAACAAGCTGCAGCATGTACAGACCCATGGATACACCAAGAGTCCCATCCATCTGCCAACTCCTGCAGCCAGCCGACTGCAGCTGGTATCGGCCATCAACCTCTCCACGGCCAAGGATTCCAAAGCTGTGGTCACCTGTGTGGTCATTGTGCTGTCAGTCCTGGTGTGCTGTCTTCCACTGGGGATTTCCTTGGTTCAGGTGGTTCTGTCTAACAGTGCAAGCTTCATCCTTTACCAGTTTGAACTTCTTGGATTTACCCTTATCTTTCTCAAGTCAGGACTGAACCCTTTTATCTACTCCCGGAACAGTGCAGGACTGAGAAGGAAAGTGCTCTGGTGCCTCCAATACATAGGCCTGGGCTTCTTCTGCTGCAAACAAAAGACTCGACTTCGAGCCATGGGAAAAGGGAACTTGGAAGTCAACAGAAACAAATCCTCACATCATGAAACAAATTCCGCCTACATGTTGTCTCCCAAGCCACAGAAAAAATTTGTGGACCAGGCTTGTGGCCCAAGTCATTCGAAGGAAAGTATGGTGAGTCCCAAGATCTCTGCTGGACACCAACATTGCGGCCAGAGCAGTTCGACCCCCATCAACACACGGATTGAACCTTACTACAGTATCTATAACAGTAGCCCTTCCCAGGGGGAGAGCAGCCCATGTACCTTGCAGCCAGTGAACTCTTTCGGATTTGCCAACTCGTACATTGCCATGCATTATCACACCACTAATGACTTGTTGCAGGAATATGATAGCACATCAGCTAAACAGATTCCAGTCCCCTCTGTTTAAACTCATGGGGGCTACAGAATCTTCTGTAAGTGATTCACTGTCATATACTGAGTCTTTCTTAACTTTTTGGCATCAGTATCAGATCAGAATTTAATGATTTTGCTAAAGAATTGACAATGAAGACTTTTCTTTTGCCTGAAATACTATCTATTGGTTTGCTTTATAGTTTCTTGACAGCTTAAGATTTCATCTGAAAGTTTATTTAGACCTTTACCTTGACCTGTGCTCCCATCTTTTTTAACCATACCTGTGAGTGGGCCAGGAAAAATCACCTGTTAAAGTAGGAAATCAACTGAGTATGATTCTTTGAGTCAATATTATAGATTTCATAGCTCTATGTTTTTTAATTTTTAGAAGAACGTGAAGATACAATCCTTGCTGAGGTATTACGAGTGCTTTAATTAGCTGAATTATGAATTTTTATTCTGTAGAGTAATAACCTGGGAAATAATATGCTATTTTGATGATAAGTTGATTTGAGTGTGTCACCTGTAATTCTCTCCTTACCAAAAGTACTCACACAGGCAGTAGGTACTTTCCTTACATAAGACAGTCAAATATTACAATTGTTGTCTTTTGTTATTTAGACTTTATTTTGTGTCGAGTAGCTTGATCAGTCTTTTAAAATTAAAGGTATCTTTGCTTCTTGAAGTGACTCACTCTGTTTAAAAGTAAAGTTATCCAAGAGTCCTGTTCAAGAACACTCTAGAGGACATCCACTGTAGCTGGGAGAGCAAGCATTGCTGCAGGCACTGCTGGTGCTGTGCCACTGGGAGCAACACGGCTGCCATCACGCAGTGGCCAGTCTCTACTGTTGTCTAGCTAGGCTTAGAAATGAGGCTGGGAACGTTTGATTTATATTTCCTTCTGTGTGAGAGGAGCTTAGTAATCACTTGGTACTATTCAGATAACTATTTAGAGATCATTTATTTTTGTCACTTTATTGATTGTTGTGGTAGAAAAATCCTCAAGATTATCTCTTTTCAAACTACTGATTCTACCTTGCTTCCACTAATCTTAAATTGGAAATGGGTAATGAGGAAAAAATAGATTAAATATTTCTATTTCTGAAACTAATTTTATTATGTGCTCTGTGATAGCCTAACCCCTGCAAATCCATGTTTTAATGTAAGAATATTTTTCATTATACCATTAGCATTTGAACTGACTAGAACTTCGAAACTGTAACTGTTAGACATAGATGAGCATCAAGATACAAAAGTTTGTATTTAAAAACTGTTAGCTAAACCATTATTGTTGTAACTTGGAATGCACTTAGTTTCTTTGGATGAAAGGGACTCTGTTTGTAGTGCCCTTCCAGTATTGGGCAGTTAGTTCAATTTCTGAGATTCAAATATGAGGCCTAGATTTTATTTTGTTTTTGAATTCAACTGTTTTACCATCCTTCTTCCCTTCCCAAATCCCTCTCTTCTCTCTTCTTTTCCTTTTATTTTTGCTCTCAAATTTTATAAAAAGAGAAAATATCCACTCTCCCAATTTTTCAAGTAATTAATTCCTATTTTTTGGAAGTCACTATTGCCTATTTCAATTGTAATTTTATATCTTTAATACATATTACTTTCATTTGTTGATATTCCCATAAGATAGGTTAATATATTATGTCTTTTAGACAAAGAATTAAGAAATCAAATAGTAAGTTAAATATTCTCTTCCAAGATCATTTGAGGAATTGTGGCAAATTAGAAAATATACTTTTTTAAAAAAACTCACATCCTATTATGTATTCTAATATGCCAAACTGCTTTGTAATTAACAACATTTATCAAGAAGATGGTTCATACTTTTAAAGTAATATATCTCTTTTTCTGTCTAGGCATTTTAAATGTGATTTAATAAAAGCTTAAAACAAAAGTAATTTCTACTGGTAAAATTTTAAATGCCAGGTTTCCTGTAAGATCTTTGGACTTGAGACAAATTGATTAATATTGAGTCCATCTTTGGGACTTAAGAACTATAGCATAAAGAAAATGAAATATGTGGATGGAAAGTATTCAGTCTCTTTATGTGCATACAATCTTACTGAATCAACTTGCATGAAATACATAGGGGAACAAGATTCTTCACTTCCCTCCTTATCTATATCTATAGTTGTAGATATAGATATATAGATACAAAACTTGTCGCTTCATAAGTTTACATATGTCTAGCTAGGTCTAGATCATGATAATATAGGTCTAGCTAGACACATATAACTTATTGTTCATGAGTTATATATGTCTTTGTATACCTGTGTTGTATTACAGGTATAGACAGACATATATCACTTTTCATAAGGGCTAAATGAGAACTAGAGATGAGAATTCAGTTGAATATGATTCATTAATGGGATGTGGTAATTGAGTTCTCTTGATGTTCTCTTGATGCTTTACTGTGATGCAATGTGTGTGATGTACTTAAAACATTTTATAATAATTGTTCCTATGTTAATCATTAGGCCAGATTTGTATTTCTGATGCCTTTAAATGTTCTTTTAAAATAATGTTTGGAAAATAAAATACTGAAAATCCTAACATTTCTGAACACCGGATTGTAGTATATTAACTTTGTTTCAGAACATGGCAATGATCATGTTTACACAATAGTAGTTTGTTGGGAGAGCCAGAGTATTTTCCTGTGAAGAGATGAAATAATTTCACCCCATTTGGTAGTACATGTGCTCAAATTAACCAAGAATATAAAACTTAAAAGGTGATTGAGTACTTATCGCCTAGTGGGAAGAGTCCTAAATGAACATTTCAGTAATTTCCTTAACATGAAATCAACTTGAGAAAAAAAAAAAGAGAGAGAGAGAACTTTGGAATTTTTAGTTTCCCTATTCATCAGAGCTGGATTTTAAGATTCAGAGAGATAAGTAAGATCGGATTCACTATGAGATATTTGATGTCTACAGATAATTAGATGGACAGAGCTCTATGATGTGTTTCCAGAAAGATTCTGCAATAGACGCTACTGGCTGACCAGCCAGAAACACTAATGGTTCCTCCACAGCAAGGATGGGAGGGAGACTGGAAGCTTAACTTAGACTTTTGACTTCAAGGACACTGTTAAAATTGCCACCCAGAAATTAGGCACCTACTGTAACTGCCATTGCCTACACAACAAGCCTCCCTAAGTAGTGCCAAGAAAGTAGCTGAAATGCCACTGCAGAGAATTTTGAAGTCATACATTCAGTTAGAAGGACTTAATTTGCATCTATAACTTTTCCCATGTAGTTACAGTGAAAGGGTTATGTTTAAAAGGATGTTCAACATGGTTGCTGACTTTCTATTACATGCACAGCAATTCACGTTGTTGGTACTCAACATTAGGATACAGACCTCCAGCCATAATCCCAAAGAATAACAATAATGATGGCACCATTCTTCTTGAAATAATGAAGCCTTTCGCCTCTTCCAGAGAGAAACTGCAAATTGAATCAGTTAGATTCTACTTCTCTATTTCAGAGATTGTTTTAACTTGATGTTCTGTAACCGATGGCATAAATTATAAAGCTTGCTACCAATATTTGTATCAAGTGTTGGGGGAATTGGTAGAAGGAAGTTGGTTAAAAATGCATCATAGATACATACATAGACACAATATGATAAAGAAAATCCTGGATCAATACTGATTTTTTGTGCTTCTGTAGCTGGTTAGGAAATTGTGGTTGGTGTATAGTAATTTGCTCCCTCTGCTCCCCATTTTCTGTGCCTTTGATATTAGCAGAAAGCTGGACCAAAAGTAGAAGCAAAATTTGGCCCCAGGCACTCAAATATGGGATGCAGGTTAACCTGCTCCACACTGTCCACCCCTGGAGGCAGGTTTTCATTGGGTTTATATTTGACCATTCAAATATTTTAATACTTTTAAACATTTTTTAAAATTTCCACAATGCAGTTTTATTTTTTGATGATATTTACATAGTTGATCTGAGTGGGAAGGATCAATGATTAGGGGAAAATGGTTGGGACCACTGCTTCCAAATTTCCTTCCCCTCTGCATCTGGGGGAATGGAGGAGGCAAGTGGAGAAGCCATACCCAGCCTGCCAACCACCCCAGTACTCAGGAATGGGGAACAGCTACCCTATGTCATCCCAGGGTCCCCTATGTAAAACCATGCTCAGGGGGACCTGCTCAGATGGTTTTGATAGTTGTGAGATGCTGTCGATCTGGCCAATCCAACAATGAGGAACTCGTTCCAAGGTTCATTGGCTGACATAGTCCACCTTAGAGTCTCCATTCACACAGATTTTTGCTGTCATCGCTTGATTTGGGATAGTTGTCAAACTCTTTCTGCCCTCCTTCCTCTGCTGTGGTGCCAGACATCTTCTGCAAACCCCAACAGGCTGCCACATCCTCCATGTGCGTTTGGGCATGCCGTTCACCACTGTGCCTTCCACTGAGGAGGTCCAGCTCTGACACATTCACTGCATGGTCAGACCACCAAGTCTGCCATTCTGCCCATGGTTGGAATTCTGTTCTAATTGTTCAATTGGGGGCAAGGATACCCAAAGAAACCTCTTCTGAAGTGATCCCAAACGTGATTTTTCGTGTGTACTTGCCGGTATGGAGTCTGGCTCAGTCCATCACCCCCATCAGCTCACATATACACTGGTAATTGCAATTGCTGGGTCAGTTCTGTCTATCCCTGAGACAGTAAAGCTCCTAGACCTTCATTTTTGAAGTAAACATGAATTTTTATGTGCAATATTTTCTCATTGTGGATCATGCAGTTTTTTCAACATTAGAACTCTTATTGTTTGCATTCCTACCCACATACTTCCCTTTCAGAATTGACACTACTCTTAGGCTATATTTGCCTAGTTTGTTGTTGTTGTTATGCTTTCTAGCTCACTTTCAATATTTTGTCATGAAAATATTCAAATATGCATAAAGCGATCCAGCACCATGCTGTAGTGGGTTAAGCCTCTGCCGGTAGCACTGGCATCCCTTATGAGTGTCGGTTCGAGTCCCTGCTGCTCCACTTCTGTTCCAATGCTGGCCCTAAATTTCTGTATTTGAAAATCAGAAATACACTCACAGAAATACAGACTGAGAAATAGAGAGAGCACACCAGCTCAATTTTTTTCATTCCCTGGTTCATTCCCCAAATGGCCAAATTAGTCAGGGCTGAGTTAACCTGTGTTTGAGAGCTGTTAGCTCCAAGAATTCCATCTAGGTCTCCAGCCTTGGTAGTAAGAACTCAGCTCCTTGAGTC